TCTCCTGACGAATATTATAACATTATTATTATTATTATTATTATTATTATAATCAAGGGGGAAGCGCTAAACTCGTAGGATTATACAGCGCCCAGGGGGGGGATGTGGAAGGCATTCAGGCTTAATTCGGGGAACTGGAGCACAGATCCAATTCCCTAAATCAAGAGCCCCTCACCAACATCAAGGAACCTTCCATGAGGGGGAATATTATAACAACAACTTCGGTTTTCTGTTGTGACAGTTAATGGTACAAGACGGACCGAAACGTCGTTATATGTTTCTTCTGTGTGCGAGTCATTTGTGCATTTTTCCTGTCACTATATTGTAACTTACTCAGCTATCATAACTTTGGGGTCCAGTCCCTGGACCAATTATGTACCTCTGTAATCTTTTGACTACCACCCACAGGATGGGTATGGGCTGCATAATGAACATATTAAACTTGTTTCTTTTCATTCCTTCTGATTTTTCGATATGTTGGGTTTGGGTGTAATGGTCAGGAATAAGTATGTATATTCTAGTACTGGGTATATCATCCTTAAGTAGTTTTTTGAGTGCTGGTACTTGGTCGTAAACAAGGACTCCCACTTCTTTCTGTTTGCAAAATGTTACGTTATGATTAGGATTCTCTCTCTCTTAGACTTAACGTAGATAATGAGATTGTTTATATGACCAGTCATATATGTTTATATGACCAGCCATTATATGCAGCACCCCGCTCGGGTGCTGCATATAATGGTGGAGAAAGATGATGTTGATGCTCCACCACCATGTATTATATATATATATATATATATATATATATATATATATATATATATATATATATATATATATATATATATATATATATATATATATATAAACACGCTAAGATAACAGGGATATCTTGCTACTCCTACTTACACTTTGGTCACACTTCACAGACACGCACATGCATATATATATATACATACATCTAGGTTTTTCTCCTTTTTCTAAATAGCTCTTGTTCTTTTTTATTTCTTCTATTGTCCATGGGGAAGTGGAAAAGAATCTTTCCTCCGTAAGCCAGCGTGTCGTATGAGGCGACTAAAATGCCGGGAGCAATGGGCTAGTAACCCCTTCTCCTGTATACAATTACTAAAAAAGAGAAGAAGAAAAACTTTATAAAACTGGGTTGCTTAAATGTGCGTGGATGTAGTGCGGATGACAAGAAACAGATGATTGCTGATGTTATGAATGAAAAGAAGTTGGATGTCCTGGCCCTAAGCGAAACAAAGCTGAAGGGGGTAGGAGAGTTTCAGTGGGGGAAATAAATGGATTAAATCTGGAGTATCTGAGAGAGTTAGAGCAAAGGAAGGGGTAGCAGTAATGTTAAATGATCAGTTATGGAAGGAGAAAAGAGAATATGAATGTGTAAATTCAAGAATTATGTGGATTAAAGTAAAGGTTGGATGCGAGAAGTGGGTCATAATAAGCGTGTATGCACCTGGAGAAGAGAGGAATGCAGAGGAGAGAGAGAGATTTTGGGAGATGTTAAGTGAATGTATAGGAGCCTTTTGAACCAATGAGAGAGTAATTGTGGTAGGGGACTTGAATGCTAAAGTAGGAAGAAACTTTTAGAGGGTGTGGTAGGTAAGTTTGGGGTGCCAGGTGTAAATGATAATGGGAGCCCTTTGATTGAACTTTGTATAGAAAGGGGTTTAGTTATAGGTAATACATATTTAAGAAAAAGAGGATAAATAAGTATACACGATATGATGTAGGGCGAAATGACAGTAGTTTGTTGGATTATGTATTGGTAGATAAAAGACTGTTGAGTAGACTTCAGGATGTACATGTTTATAGAGGGCCACAGATATATCAGATCACTTTCTAGTTGTAGCTACACTGAGAGTAAAAGGTAGATGGGATACAAGGAGAATAGAAGCATCAGGGAAGAGAGAGGTGAAGGTTTATAAACTAAAAGAGGAGGCAGTTAGGGTAAGATATAAACAGCTATTGGAGGATAGATGGGCTAATGAGAGCATAGGCAATGGGGTCGAAGAGGTATGGGGTAGGTTTAAAAATGTAGTGTTAGAGTGTTCAGCAGAAGTTTGTGGTTACAGGAAAGTGGGTGCAGGAGGGAAGAGGAGCGATTGGTGGAATGATGATGTAAAGAGAGTAGTAAGGGAGAAAAAGTTAGCATATGAGAAGTTTTTACAAAGTAGAAGTGATGCAAGGAGGGAAGAGTATATGGAGAAAAAGAGAGAAGTTAAGAGAGTGGTGAAGCAATGTAAAAAGAGAGCAAATGAGAGAGTGGGTGAGATGTTATCAACAAATTTTGTTGAAAATAAGAAAAAGTTTTGGAGTGAGATTAACAAGTTAAGAAAGCCTAGAGAACAAATGGATTTGTCAGTTAAAAATAGGAGAGGAGAGTTATTAAATGGAGAGGTAGAGGTATTGGGAAGATGGAAGGAATATTTTGAGGAATTGTTAAATTTTTGATGAAGATAGGGAAGCTGTGATTTCGTGTATAGGGCAAGGAGGAATAACATCTTGTAGGAGTGAGGAAGAGCCAGTTGTGAGTGTGGGGGAAGTTCGTGAGGCAGTAGGTAAAATGAAAGGGGTAAGGCAGCCGGGATTGATGGGATAAAGATAGAAATGTTAAAAGCAGGTGGGGATATAGTTTTGGAGTGGTTGGTGCAATTATTTAATAAATGTATGGAAGAGGGTAAGGTACCTAGGGATTGGCAGAGAGCATGCATAGTTCCTTTGTATAAAGGCAAAGGGGATAAAAGAGAGTGCAAAAATTATAGGGGGATAAGTCTGTTGAGTGTACCTGGTAAAGTGTATGGTAGAGTTATAATTGAAAGAATTAAGAGTAAGACGGAGAATAGGATAGCAGATGAACAAGGAGGCTTTAGGAAAGGTAGGGGGTGTGTGGACCAGGTGTTTACAGTGAAACATATAAGTGAACAGTATTTAGATAAGGCTAAAGAGGTCTTTGTGGCATTTATGGATTTGGAAAAGGCGTACGACAGGGTGGATAGGGGGGCAATGTGGCAGATGTTGCAAGTGTATGGTGTAGGAGGTAGGTTACTGAAGCAGTGAAGAGTTTTTACGAGGATAGTGAGGCTCAAGTTAGAGTATGTAGGAAAGAGGGAAATTTTTTTCCCAGTAAAAGTAGGCCTTAGACAAGGATGTGTGATGTCACCGTGGTTGTTTAATATAATTATAGATGGGGTTGTAAGAGAAGTAAATGCGAGGGTCTTGGCAAGAGGCGTGGAGTTAAAAGATAAAGAATCACACACAAAGTGGAGTTGTCACAGCTGCTCTTTGCCGATGACACTGTGCTCTTGGGAGATTCTGAAGAGAAGTTGCAGAGATTGGTGGATGAATTTGGTAGGGTGTGCAAAAGAAGAAAATTAAAGGTGAATACAGGAAAGAGTAAGGTTATGAGGATAACAAAAAGATTAGGTGATGAAAGATTGAATATCAGATTGAGGGAGAGAGTATGGAGGAGGTGAACGTATTCAGATATTTGGGAGTGGACGTGTCAGCGGATGGGTCTATGAAAGATGAGGTGAATCATAGAATTGATGAGGGAAAAAGAGTGAGTGGTGCACTTAGGAGTCTGTGGAGACAAAGAACTTTGTCCTTGGAGGCAAAGAGGGGAATGTATGAGAGTATAGTTTTACCAACGCTCTTATATGGGTGTGAAGCGTGGGTGATGAATGTTGCAGCGAGGAGAAGGCTGGAGGCAGTGGAGATGTCATGTCTGAGGGCAATGTGTGGTGTGAATATAATGCAGAGAATTCGTAGTTTGGAAGTTAGGAGGAGGTGCGGGATTACCAAAACTGTTGTCCAGAGGGCTGAGGAAGGGTTGTTGAGGTGGTTCGGACATGTAGAGAGAATGGAGCGAAACAGAATGACTTCAAGAGTGTATCAGTCTGTAGTGGAAGGAAGGCGGGTAGGGGTCGGCCTAGGAAGGGTTGGAGGGAGGGGGTAAAGGAGGTTTTGTGTGCGAGGGGCTTGGACTTCCAGCAGGCATGCGTGAGCGTGTTTGATAGGAGTGAATGGAGACAAATGGTTTTTAATACTTGACGTGCTGTTGGAGTGTGAGCAAAGTAACATTTATGAAGGGATTCAGGGAAACCGGCAGGCCGGACTTGAGTCCTGGAGATGGGAAGTACAGTGCCTGCACTCTGAAGGAGGGGTGTTAATGTTGCAGTTTAAAAACTGTAGTGTAAAGCACCCTTCTGGCAAGACAGTGATGGAGTGAATGATGGTGAAAGTTTTTCTTTTTCGGGCCACCCTGCCTTGGTGGGAATCGGCCGGTGTGATAATAAAAAAAAATAAAATATATATATATATATATATATATATATATATATATATATATATTATATATATATATATATATATATATATATTATATATATATATATATATTATATATATATATATATATAATATATATATATATATATATATATATATATATATATATATATATATATATATATATATATATATATATATATATATATATATTATATATAATATATATATAACATGCTTAGTGTTTTCACCGTGCCGGGATCGATCCCCGGTACCTTAGTGTGAGCTCAGGACGTATGGGCCAATAGGCCTACTGTTCTTTTTATTTGTTTATTTATTTATTTATTTAATAATTTGAACATACAGAGGTACAAAAAAATACAGGTAAGAGCAGTATGCCAAAGCCACTTGTATGCATAGCAATTATTATCTCCATAATTAGCGAGTGTGGTTGGGTATGAGCTAGACCTGCCCAGCATGGGCCAAGAGGCCTACTCCAGGGTCCTTTCATTTTTATGGTCTCTTATATCTAACAGCATTTTTTTTCTCTACCAATACAGGTTCACCAACAGCATACGATACCCTGCTTGAAGCTTCTCCTAATTTACAAATCACCAAATATTTTCCCGTAATAATCTTTATCGTTATAACGAACTCTGACGTTGACATTTATAATAATAAATGTGGATATTGTGGTAGATAAGAGGAAGGGATGTTAGTGTGATGGTAGAGGTTGGTGTGCGTGTTTGTTGACCTTGGATCAGCTGTGTTGTGAACACGTGGAGTTAGTATGAACAGCTTCACTTATTGTATATGGCGCAGTGTTAGAGCAGCTTTATACACAGCTATGGAACACCATCACCATGCCACCAGGACTCTCACCAGACACACTCACACTGATGTTGATCACCAGTACGAGGTAATGCAAGAACCATGTTGGAAATATGTCACTGTGACTTTTTTTGGGGGGGTTATTCTGGGTAGTCTACACATGTTGATTTGTATGATAATATATGTAACTGTTTATGTGTACCTGAATAGACTTATTGCAGGTAGCTTTGTCAAACAACCTACTGCAGGGAAACGTTATTTTGTGGAACCTGCAGTAGGTGGTCAGGCCTCAGATATTTTATTATACAACAATAAAGGGGCGGAACTTATTGCCTGACCATGTCAAAGTCAGTCCTAGCATGAGTCAGTTCAACAAGGGTCATAAACTTACTTAGGCTTGAATAATAAGATATCACAAGGATCTCAGTGGAAATGTTACTTTGATTCTTTTTGTTATCCTACGTAATTTGCACATGTTACTATGTATAATAATTGTCTTATGAGTACCTGTACCTAAATAAACTCACTTTTAAGATTTAAATAATAAGATATCACAAGGACCCCCAATGGAAATAGTCACTGACTTTTTTTTTTTTTGGGGGGGGGGGAGTTACCTACATAATTTACACCTGTTACTCTTTATAACAGTTGTTCTTACGTGTCCCTGTACCTAAATAAACTTAATTAGGGATGACTTCAGAGGGTGTCTTGTCTTATGTATGTATGTACTCGCCTATTTCTAGTTGTATGGGTCAAGTCACAGCTCCTGACCCTGTCTGTTCTTTGGTCACTACTAGGTCCACACTCGGGGCCAGGAGCTAAGACTCGACCCCTGCAACCATAAATAGGTGAGTACTCTCCCAACTCCTAGAGCCTTATTATACCTCATCTTAAAGCTATGTATGGGTCCTGCCTCCACTACTCGCTCTCCAGATTGTTCCACTTCCTGACAATTCTAAGACTGAAGAAGTACTTCCTAACATCCCTATGACTTGTCTGAGTTTTTAATTTCCAGTTGTCCACTTGTTGCTGTATCCCATCTCTAAAACATTTTGGCCCTGTCCACCTTGTCACTTCCTCTCAGAATTTTATACATCGTTACTATGTTTTTCCATCCCTCCTGCTCTCCAGTGTCATCAGGGTGGATTCTCTTAACCTCTCCTCATAGGACATACCCTTAGCTCCAGGACTAGCCTTGTTGCAAAATTTTTATACTTTCTCCAATTCTTTGATGTGTTTGACCAGGTGTAGGTTTATAATATAATAATATCTTTCTTTCTTCAAGTACATCTCCAAGAATCAAATCTGGTAGGGCGGACTTAATTCCTGGAGATGGGATGGGAAGTACAATGCAGGCACTCTGAAGGAGGAGTGTTAATGTTGCAGTTTTATAACTGTAGTGTAAGCATGCCTCTGGCAAGACAGTGATGGAGTGAGTGATGATGAAAGCTTTTCTTTTTCGGGCCATGCAGCCTTGGTGGGAAATGGCCGACGTGTTAAAAAAAAAAATATGTTCAAGGTATACAGACCTAGCTGACATCAGTGACATATTACTATATAGAAAGCTGCTTGTTATGCAGAGAATTTTGGGCAAATTAGGTCAGTTTTGTCCCAGGATGTGACCCACACTAGTCGACTAACACCCAGGTACCCATTTTAGTGATGGGGAACATAGACAACCAGTGTAAGGAAACACGCCCAGTGTTTCTACTGGGAATTGAACCCGGACACCGCACTATGTGAAGTGACAGCTTTAGCCACCAGGTCACGGGGCACTGTGGGGTTCTATTCTAATAATGCATACTCCAATATGGGCCTGATGTAAGGATTAAGGATTTTATTTCTTTGCATAATTTACAATGTGTAATTACAATTTTCATTTGCTAAGTACAAAGAAAGCTACTATCATGCTGGGGCATTTCGGGCAGACTAAACCTAATGGTTAACAGACTAAATAATTGAGATGAATTGATTAACAGGTTACAGTATTATTGTTTTGGTTAGTATGTATGTATAATAAATGACACACTTGTGCATCACTTTGTTCTCATGCCTAACCTACTTCCACTACTGGATTTTTTACAGTGGCTGGTAGAATCTTCTTGTTTGTTATGATACTCTGTCTTAAAAAAAAAAATTGAGCAATAGACTACAAATTACCCAAAATAAGATAGATTCGTCTTGAACGTGGGTCCAAGAAAATGTAAAGGCCAGATGAATCACATAAAATTGAAAATACTAAAATTAAAACTTTCAATTACATTAGTTAATTTAGGTAGAGCTTAGTTTACAAATGAAGAGACTCTGGTTTACTTTCCCTACTGGGCAAGCTGTATAGGCAAGTCTCCTTACACCTAGTGCCCCGGTTCACAACAGTACATTAAATAGGTATCATGGTGTTCATTGGTTGTAATGAGTTACATCCTTAAAGTTGTAGTATACATAAGGAAGGGCTGGGTTTTTAAATGAGCTGAGGTAGATAACATCTCTGAGCCTTTAAATTATACTGTGAATAAAAAGTCTTCATACATCATGGAACTATTTTAGTGTATGTGACTCGGCTCTGTGTTATAGCATATAATTAGAAACAAAAATGAGCCAGTGTTCAATCCCTTGACAAGATGGGTTGTGTGTCTATCATCTTATACCCTTCTGCCCTTGTTCACCAAGTATAAATAGCTACCTAGGAGTTAGTTGGCTTTTGTCATTCACATCCTGGGAAAGAGTGACTCAACAACAAAGGATTGCATTAAACTGTATTTGTGTATTTATCAAAAGGGTACTCTTAAAGAATAAATAAGCACAATATCATGGCTGGAACAATACACAAATAACGCACACACGTAGGAGACTTAAATTTATGATGTTTCGACATGGCTTAAATCATTAACTAGTCATGATAGGCTCTACTTTTGCCACAAATCATGCTTTTATGCAGTTCTTACTGCAACTTGTATAATAAAGTACAGTACAGCATTTACATGCATATTTATAGAGATGTACTTGCTGTAGTTCATGTTTCGATATATTCATGTCATTACAAAGTAAAATTTAGCCTTTGGCTGTACAGCACTGTACCTTGAAACTCTCTTCGTGCTTCTCTATATTTCTTTTTGTACAGATTTTATTAACCTAAAGTTCACTTCTTTGTATACTTGTTATGTACATTTTCAGAATGCTGTGAGGACACTTAATAGCTTACAGTCCAATGCTGTTACTCTGCAACGCATTCGCCAAGATCGAGATCATGTGATTACACAGAATGTGCTTTCGTCTGAGCGCTTTTTGGAGCGCATTGGGGTAACACGGAGTGACCTTGATAAGCTGTCTGTCATTCATGTTGCAGGTGAGACAATAGTTATTATGCATTTTTTCTCTGAATATTATTATTACTATTGATTATAATTTTTTTTTTTTTTTCAACAAGTCGGCCGTCTCCCACCGAGGCAGGGTGACCCCAAAAAAAAGAAAGAAAATCCCCAAAAAAAAAATACTTTCATCATCATTCAACACTTTCACCACACTCGCACATTATCACTGTTTTTGCAGAGGTGCTCAGAATACAACAGTCTAGAAGCATACACATATAAAGATACACAACATATCCCTCCAAACTGCCAATATCCCAAACCCCTCCTTTAAAGTGCAGGCATTGTACTTCCCATTTCCAGGACTCAAGTCCGACTATAAAAAATAGCCGGTTTCCCTGAATCCCTTCACTAAATATTACCCTGCTCACACTCCAACAGATGTCAGGTCCCAAGTCCCATTCGTCTCCATTCACTCCTATCTAACACGCTCACGCACGCTTGCTGGAAGTCCAAGCCCCTTGCCCACAAACCTCCTTTACCCCTCTCTCCAACCCTTTCGAGGACGACCCCTACCCCGCCTTCCTTCCCCTATAGATTTATATGCTTCCATGTCATTCTACTTTGATCCATTCTCTCTAAATGACCAAACCACCTCAACAACCCCTCTTCTGCCCTCTGACTAATACTTTTATTAACTCCACACCTTCTCCTAATTTCCACACTCCGAATTTTCTGCATAATATTTACACACAATTGCCCTTAAACAGGACATCTCCACTGCCTCCAACCGTCTCCTCGCTGCTGCATTTACCACCCAAGCTTCACACCCATATAAGAGTGTTGGTACTACTATACTTTCATACATTCCCTTCTTTGCCTCCATAGATAACGTTTTTTGACTCCACATATACCTCAACGCACCACTCACCTTTTTTTCCCTCATCAATTTCTATGATTAACCTCATCCTTCATAAATCCATCCGCCGACATGTCAACTCCCAAGTATCTGAAAACAATTCACTTCTTCCATACTCCTCCTCCCCAATTTGATATCCAATTTTTCTTTATCTAAATCATTTGACACCCTCATCACCTTACTCTTTTCTATGTTCACTTTCAACTTTCTACCTTTACACACATTCCCAAACTCATCCACTAACCTTTGCAATTTTTTTCTTTAGAATCTCCCATAAGCACAGTATCATCAGCAAAAAGTAACTGTGTTAATTCCCATTTGTGAATTTGATTCCCCAAAATTTAATCCCACCCCTCTCCCGAACACCCTAGCATTTACTTCCTTTACAACCCCATCTATAAATATATTAAACAACCATGGTGACATTACACATCCCTGTCTAAGACCTACTTTTAACCGGGAAGTAGTCTCCCTCTCTTCTACACACCCTAACCTGAGCCTCACTATCCTCATAAAAACTCTTTACAGCATTTAATAACTTACCACCTATTCCATATACTTGCAACATCTGCCACATTGCTCCTCTATCCACTCTATCATATGCCTTTTCTAAATCCATAAATGCAATAAAAACTTCCCTACCTTTATCTAAATACTGTTCACATATATGCTTCAATGTAAACACTTGATCTCCCACATCCCCTACCCACTCTGAAACCTCCTTGCTCATCTGCAATCCTACATTCTGTCTTACCTCTAATTCTTTCAATTATAACCCTAACCGTACACTTTTCCTGGTATACTCAGTAAGCTTATTCCTCTATAATTTTTACAGTCTCTTTTGTCCCCTTTCCCTTTATATAAAGGGACTATACATGCTCTCTGCCAATCCCTAGGTACCTTCCCCTCTTTCATACATTTATTAAACGAAAGTACCAACCACTCCAACACTATATCCCCCCCTGCTTTTAACATTTCTGTCATGATCCCATCAGTTCCAGCTGCTTTACCCCCTTTCATTTTACGTAATGCCTCACGTACCTCCCCCACACTTACATTCTGCTCTTCTTCACTCCTAAAAGATGGTATACCTCCCTGACCAATGCATGAAATTACTGCCTCTGTTTCTTCCTTAACATTTAAAAGTTCCTCAAAATATTCTCGCCATCTACCCAATACCTCCATCTCCCCATCTACTAACTCCCCTACTCTGTTTTTAACTGACAATCCATATTTTCCCTAGGCTTTCTTAACTTGTTTAACTCACTCCAAAATTTTTTCTTATTTCATTAAAATTTCTTGACAGTGCCTCTCCCACTCTATCATCTGCTCTCCTTTTGCACTCTCTCACCACTCTCTTTACCTTTCTTTTACTCTCCATATACTCTGCTCTTCTTATAACACTTCTGCTTTGTAAAAACCTCTCTTTAAGCTCCCTTTTTTTCTCTTTTATCACACCCTTTACTTCATCATTCCACCAATCACTCCTCTTTCCTCCTGCCCCCACCCTCCTATAACCACAAACTTCTGCCCCACAATCTAATATTGTATTTTTGAAACTATTCCAACCCTCTTCAACCCCCCCACTACTCATCTTTGCACTAGCCCTCCTTTTCTGCCAATAGTCGTTATATCTCACCCGAACTTCCTCCTCCCTTAGTTTTATACACTTTCACCTCCCTCTTACTTGTTGATTCCACCTTCCTCTTTTCCCATCTACCTCTTACTCTAACTGTAGCTACAACTAAATAATGATCCGATATATCAGTTGCCCTCTATAAACATGTACATCCTGGAGCTGCCCATCAACCTTTTATCCACCAATACATAATCTAATAAACTACTTTCATTACGTGCTACATCATACACTTGTTATATTTATTTATCCTTCTTTTTCATAAAATATGTATTACTTATTACCAAAATTTCTTTCACACATAGCTTCAATTAAAGGCTCCCCATTTACATTTACCCCTGGCACCCCAAGTTTAACCTACTACTCCCTCCATAACATTTTTACCCACTTTAGCATTGAAATCCCCAACCACCATTTTCTCTCACACTTGATTCAAAACTCCCACGCATTCACTCAACATTTCCCAAAATCTCTCTCTCTCCCCTACACTTCTCTCTTCTCCAGGGGCATACACGCTTATTATAAATCACTTTTCACATCCAATCTTTATTTTACTCCACATAATCCTTGAATTAATACATTTATAGTCCCTCTTTTCTGCCATAGCTTATCCTTCAAAATTATTGCTACTCCTTCTTTAGCTCTAACTCTATTTGAAACCCCATGACCTAATCCCATTTATTCCTCTCCACTGAAAACCCCTCCCACCCCCTTCAGCTTTGTTTGACTTAAAGCCAGGACATCCAGCTTCTTCTCATTCATAACATCCACAATCATCTCTTTCTTATCATCTGAACAACATCCACGCACATTCAGACTTCCCACTTTGACAATTTTCTTCTTCTTATTCTTTTTAGTAATCTTTACAGGAAAAGGGGTTACTAGCCCATTATTCCCGGCATTTTAGTTGACTTTTACAACACGCATGGCTTACGGAGGAAAGATTCTTATTCCACTTCCCCATGGATATAAAAGGAAAATTAATAAGACCAAGAACTATTAAGATAAAATCAAAGAAAACTCAGATGAGTGTGTATAAATAAATGTGTACATGTATGTGTAGTGTGACCTAAGTGTAAGTAGAAGTAGCAAGACATGCCTGTAATCTTGCATATTTATGAGACAGACAAAAGACATCAGCAATCCTACCATCATGTAAAACAATCACAGGCTTTCGTTTTACACTCACTTGGCAGGACGGTAGTACCTCCCTGGGTGGTTGCTGTCTACCAACCTACTACCTATAATATATAATATAATATAATATATGGAGAAAAAGAGAGAGGTTAAGAGAGTGGTGAGGCAATGTCAAAAGAGAGCAAATGAGAGAGTGGGTGAGATGTTATCAACAAATTTTGTTGAAAATAAGAAAAAGTTTTGGAGTGAGATTAACAAGTTAAGGAAGCCTAGAGAACAAATGGATTTGTCAGTTAAAAATAGGAGAGGAGAGTTATTAAATGGAGAGTTAGAGGTATTGGGAAGATGGAGGGAATATTTTGAGGAATTGTGAAATGTTGATGAAGATAGGGAAGCTGTGATTTTGTGTATAGGGCAAGGAGGAATAACATCTTGTAGGAGTGAGGAAGAGCCAGTTGTGAGTGTGGGGGAAGTTCGTGAGGCAGTAGGTAAAATGAAAGGGGGTAAGGCAGCCGGGATTGAGGGGATAAAGATAGAAATGTTAAAAGCAGGTGGGGATATATTTTTGGAGTGGTTGGTGCAATTATTTAATAAATGTATGGAAGAAGGTAAGGTACCTAGGGATTGGCAGAGAGCATGCATAGTTCTTTTGTATAAAGGCAAAGGAGACAAAAGAGAGTGCAAAAATTATAGGGGGATAAGTCTGTTGAATATACCTGGTAAAGTGTACGGTAGTTATTATTGAAAGAATTAAGAGTAAGACGGAGAATAGGATAGCAGATGAACAAGGAAGCTTTAGGAAAGGTAGGGGGTGTGTGGACCAGGTGTTTACAGTGAAACATATAAGTGAACAGTATTTAGATAAAGCTAAAGAGGTTTTTGTGGCATTTATGGATTTGGAAAAGGCGTATGACAGGGTGGATAGGGAAGCAATGTGGCAGATGTTGCAGGTGTATGGTGTAGGAGGTAGGTTTCTGAAAGCAGTGAAGAGTTTTTACGAGGATAGTGAGGCTCAAATTAGAGTATGTAGGAAAGAGAGATTATTTCCCAGTAAAAGTAGGCCTTAGACAAGAATGTGTGATGTCTCCGTGGTTGTTTAATATATTTATAGATGGGGTTGTAAGAGAAGTAAATGCGAGGGTCTTGGCAAGAGACGTGGAGTTAAAAGATAAAGAATCACACAAAGTGGGAGTTGTCACAGTTGCTCTTTGCTGATGACACTGTGCTCTTGGGAGATTCTGAACAGAAGTTGCAGAGGTTGGTGGATGAATTTGGTAGGGTATGCAAAAGAAGAAAATTAAAAGTGAATACAGGAAAGAGTAAGGTTATGAAGATAACAAAAGGATTAGGTGATGAAAGATTGGATATCAGATTGGAGGGAGAGAGTATGGAGGAGTTGAATGTATTCAGATATTTGGGAGTGGACGTGTCAGCGGATGGGTCTATGAAAGATGAGGTGAATCATAGAATTGATGAGGAGAAAAGGGTGAGCGGTGCACTTAGGAGTCTGTGGAGACAGAACTTTGTCCTTGGAGGCAAAGAGGGGAATGTATGAGAGTATAGTTTTACCAACGCTCTTATATGGGTGTGAAGCATGGGTGATGAATGTTGCAGCAAGGAGAAGGCTGGAGGCAGTGGAGATGTCATGTCTGAGGGCAGTGTGTGGTGTGAATATAATGCAGAGAATTCGTAGTTTGGAAGTTAGGAGGAGGTGCGGAATTACCAAAACTGTTGTCCAGAGGGCTGAGGAAGGGTTGTTGAGGTGGTTCGGACATGTAGAGAGAATGGAGCGAAACAGAATGACTTCAAGAGTGTATCAGTCTGTAGTGGAAGAAAGGCGGGGTAGGGGTCGGCCTAGGAAAGGTTGGAGGGAGGGGGTAAAGGAGGTTTTGTGTGCGAGGGGCTTGGACTTCCAGCAGGCATGCATGACCGTGTTTCATAGAAATGAATGGAGACAAATGGTTTTTAATACTTGATGTGCTGTTGGAGTGTGAGCAAAGTAACATTTATGAAGGGATTCAGGGAAACCGGCAGACCGGACTTTAGTCCTGGAGATGGGAAGTACAGTGCCTGCACTCTGAAGGAGGGGTGTTAATGTTGCAGTTTAAAAACTGTAGTGTATAGTACCCTTCTGGCAGGACAGTGATGGAGTGAATGATGGTGAAAGTTTTTCTTTTTTTGGGCCACCCTGCCTTGGTGGGAATCGGCCAGTGTGTTAATAATAAAAAAATATTATAATATACTATTTAAAATATAATGGAGATGTTTTAAAATTTTTAAAAATTGTTTTGCCATTTATATATTTTTTCTTCTTAATTATTTGCTATTTTTTGTTACTATCAGTTTATTAAGTAATAAAGACTGTAATTGATTTGTTTTTATTCTGTGTTACTGTATGGTAAATTTAATAATCTTGAATTATCAAATTGTATTTATTGAAATTGATGTATAATTCATGTTAAATATTCTGCTTCAGAATTTTTTAAAATTATATAAATGATAAATCATCCTAAAAGCAGCTAGTTTAAAAAATAAGAACTTTTTATGACTATCAGGATTTTATTTTCATGAAGCCTTCATAAATTTCTGGTAATTGTTAATTCACAGTTTTGGAAAGATTTGTACTAGTCAGCCTTACAACATTAGTAGATGCATTTAACTGATTTTTCTGTTTACATTGTAGATTTTATTCTTGTTCAAAATGGAATGGTAAATTTACTCTTCCTGCATATTGTACTTTGTGTTTTTGCTTCTTTTTTAGGATTTGTGTTGAAGACCTGGGAGCGGTATTTTGAGAAATGAGAGAATTATGTGCTGAGGTGGCTGATACATCCATGAAACATTTGCCAGTTGCTTACAGTGAATAAAACCAGAGTAGGTTTATATAGAAGCACTAGTAACCATGGCAATTTATAGTCAGGAGGTTCTGCTTGTTAGGGACTTGAACATCCAACAGGCTTGTATGAATGCATTAGCTTGGAGTGAGTGAAGGCAAGTAGTTTTTGTACCCGACATGCTGTAACATTTATGAAATTATTCAGGGAAACCAGTTAGCCAGACTTTTGTCCGGGAGATGGAAAATACAATGCCTGCACTCTAAAGGTGGGGTGTGGATGTTGCAGTTTTGAGGACCATCTGAACTATGATGTCAGCATGCTTCAGGCAAGACAGTGATTGACTGAATGACAATGTGTTTCTTCTTTTTCTGGTTACTACCTCAATGAGAGATGGCAAAGAACATGCCTTAATGAGTAACTACAGTGTTTCAGAATGTTTATGGTAAGAAAAGTGGTAGAAATCGACCACAAAGAAGGGCTGTAGAGTTTGACAAATGCATTAACCCCTTGACTGTCGAAACCCCAAGTTCTGAGGTGTCTCCTGGTGTCAAAAATTTTTTGAAAAAAAAAAAAAAAAAAAAAAAAAAATATGAAATGATAGAGAATCTTTTCCCGATGGTAATGACACCAAAAGAATAAAATTTGATGGAAAACTGATGGAATTACGCTCTCGCGAAGTTAGTAACCTTGGCAATATTTATGAATCGGCAATTTCGCTCACATTGAGCCCTATTTTTGGCTAATTCCATTGCTCAAGTCAACCAAACTCATAGCTATTTCTTTAGAACTCCATTTTTTTCTATCAACTGAGTACAAGAAACTGCCCATTTACTGATTTCAACTACCCAATAACATGGTCAGAAATTTGCAATTTGGCCAATTTCACGAAAATTAAAATATATGACAATTTCAAAATAGGGTCCAGAATGAATAATGCAGACATTCCTGGCTCTAAAATAAAATTTTCTTTGTTCATCAGTCATGTCTCCAGGCCCCTCAGATATTACTTTTACTTTCTATTTTGAGTTTTTATTCAAACAAAAAATAGAAGATTTACTGTTATGCAGACTACTGCAATATTGTAATAATTGTATAAATAATGTCAACCCATTCATGACTGCATATTAGAATGGCTAGTTGGACATTTATTGGTCTATGACATCATTTGTTTACTTTTGAACATTGGCAAGAATCAAACATTTTCCCTACTTTGAGTTCCATTTCAAGGTTCTTTTCATAGTAAAACCAATCAAAATCATCACTATTTCTATAATATGTTTTCCATTCTGTCAAATGAGACCAAGAAAACGAGAATACAACCATAAATACTATACGAAAACTGACCACAAAGTCGGCATTTTAATTAAAAAAGCAGTCGGAGTTTTTTTTCTCATCATTTTTTTTATATGGTGCACACTGACCACACAGACCATTCTCTCACATGTGCGCCTACCAGCTTTCTCCTGCTTGATTTGAAGCTGCTAGAATTTATGAGTATGTATACGTCAAACACTGTGGCTCGTAAGACGTATACATGTATAGTATGTATGACTGAAACAGTCAAAGGGTTAAAACAAAGTGAGGGCAAAAAAATTATTTCCTATAATGTACTTTTTGTATATACTACTACTACTATCATGTATCACCTTTCACTTCTTTTTTACCATATAGGAACCAAGGGCAAAGGGTCAACATGTGCTTTCATTGAGAGTATTTTACGAGAGCATGGCTACCGCACTGGTTTCTATTCCTCCCCCCATCTTGTAGCTGTTCGTGAAAGAATACGAATCAATGGACAGCCCTTACCAAAAGAAGACTTTACTGAGCATTTTTGGGATGTGTACAATAAACTCGCTGCTAAGAAGGTATTTTATCTGTCAGCCTGGAACCTGTATGTTAACTACACCATAGTTGTTTCATAATAATCCTGTACCTGGTATTAATATTGTTCAGTCAGACATAAAATCCAACAGTGGTTTTATAAGATTTTTAATTTATTATATGGAATAGAGTGCTATAAAAATCATTAAATATAATACTTTGTACAGTACCAGTGCATTTATGTTTCACCTTTTGTGTTTCAAGAAGAAATATTTTTATTTTTGTGCTAATTTTTAATATTTACAGGAAAGTGAAGATGACATGCCAGCATACTTCAAATTTCTGACAGTTATGGGACTGAAAGTTTTTTTGCGTGAGGAAGTGGATGTTGTTGTTCTGGAAGTAGGCATTGGAGGAGAGTGTGACTGCACTAATGTAGTAAAGTACGGTTTGTTTATTATCTGTAACTCAGTTTACATTTTTTTTTTTCTAACATTTGTCATTCACTTTAGTGAAAAATTTCATTCACATTCACTCTTTATCGAGCTGTTATTCCTTGACCCACAAACTGGAAACATCCCTACCACTACATTACAGAAATAATTGGTGAATCATAATCACCACCTCTAAAAAAAAAAAATGAATTTTGTGTAAGCAAATATATCTCAATGCTTTCCTAACATGAGTACAAGAGTATTACATGTTTTGTTCTTGACATTTGTTTTCAGAAAGCCTGTGGTTTGTGGTATCACGACACTAGATATTGACCACACCTCCATCCTAGGTAATACAATTGAGTCAATTGCATGGCACAAAGCAGGCATAATGAAGCCTGGGGTACCTACATTTACAGTGGATCAGCAGCAGAGCTCCTCCTTACTTGTCATGATGGAGAGAGCCAAGGAGAAGAAGGTAGATACAGTACGGTATTACATGTGCAGTTCAAAATCACTATTCCAAGCATTTTTCTCGTGGTACTGTATTAGAATTCTGTTAATAAAGAAGACCTAGATATACATGTATGATAAAAACAAAATTTAGAAATTATTCATGATATTAAATGATCTGTATGTTTCTTTGAATTATTTATATATTGGGTTTTGCATGTGTTGGAGACTACAGTATTATGATTATATTAATGGAAAAGTGGTAAACCTGTTGATGGTCATATAATGCCTGGGAAACGGGAGGTAATTGGGTTTGATCCAAGTAATAAGAGTAGCTTAAATTCCTTGGGTCAAGAGCCATCTACCAGACATCCCTCTTGAAGAGGAAAGAATGTATCAAGCTCGTCAGATTCCAGTTGAGGGTCGTGAGTATGCACTTGAAGTATCTGAGGGGTTTATATATTTTAGAAAGTGTCTTGATAATATATGCAGTATTTATTTTCATTTCATATGTCTAGTTCTTTGATCCATGGTACTGGGAATGTGCACTATTATTTAAATCTCAATTTTTGTAACAGGCAGCTACTGTAAGAATAAAAGGTTATCTGGAATGAAAGACTTTAGAATGATGATTTCAAATTATTTCTTACTGCCTGTTTTAGTGAACAGTTTGTTATGGTTGAGGGAATATTTTTGTTATTTGGATTTTTATTTTGGCTAAAATTTCTTTTCAATTTTACTTAATACTGTATTAAAATAGACAACGTTTTGAAGCAGAATATTTTTTGATGTATTACAGTAGTACAATAATTTATATTTTGATGACAGTTTAAAGGGAACATCATTTTATACAGTATTGTATGATATGTATATTGCATTTGCATGACATGGTGATGTAGCCCTTATTGTAGTACAGTATTAGGGGAAGGATAGGAGCCATCCTACGAAAGGTGGAGGGAGAGGGTAAAAGAGGTTTTGTGTGTTTGGACATCCAACAAGCATGTGTGAGCATGTTAGATAGGAGTGAATGGAAGCAAGTGGTTTTTATGACTTGGCATGCACTTGGAATGTGAGCAAGGTAACATTAATGAAAGAATTCAAGGGAAATCAATTAGCTGGACTTGAGTCCTGGTAGTGGGAAGTTCAGTACCTGCACTCTTAAGGACAGGCAGGGATATTGCATTTTGGGGGAGCATCTGAGTTGTGATGTTGGCACACCTCGCAACAGTGATAGTGAGTGATGGTGAAAGTGTTTCTTCTTTTTTGGGTCACCCTGCCTTGGTGGGAATTGGCTGGTGTATAAAAGAAATTGCAAATATACTGGTAATAGTTTTGACATTGTTTTTATAAATATAATTATAAAGGAAAAAAATTAAGGTTCTATAATAAGAATTCAGAACTTTGGCTTGTATTATAATAAACATATAAAGAAACAGCTTATGTTAGCAAGGTGGCAACCAATCATGCTGTAATACCTTCTGAGTACAGGCAAGTGCTGTATTGTTGTTGTAGAAACAAGGCAAAATGTTAAGGATATTTTTATTATTCTGTGCTAACTCATTCAGTATTTACAGTGTGAGCTGTACATAGTGCCTCCCCTTGAAAGCTATGGATGGGATAAACGACCTCTACAGTTAGGTCTGGCAGGAAGCGTTCAATACCAAAATGCTTCTCTTGCCCTCCAGGTCTCACAATACTGGATTAATTCACAGATTAAAGGTAATACACCAAAGCTAAAACTGTTTGTGTGTGTGTGTGGAGGGGAGGAGTTGTCAGTGTTAGTCAAAATGTGTTGAAGTTTCTTATATGATTTTTTTCATTATTTGAAATATGGAATTTACTGATTTTTTTTTACCAAATTGATGGTCCCCCATCAAAGTATAATGACCCAGAAAAAGAAGCATATTTACATTCATTCAATAGCTGTATTTAGCTATATGTACTTGCCAGTGTGTGGCCACAGGGGTTGAGTCTTAGCTTCTGGCCACCACCTCTCAGCATGCTGCTTGTCAGATTTATTCCCTCCTAGTCTCATGGGCCTTATTGTACCTGCTCTTTAAGCTCTGTTATGAAGCCTGCCTCTACCACTTCTTCATGGAGATCAGTCCTCTTGCCAGAGGTGTGCAGACATCACAATTAAGGTAACACTCCACTCCGAACAGCAACATCACTACCCTTCCTTCAGAGTGCAGGGACCTTACTTCTCACTTCCAGGGCTGACTATCTGGTTTCTCTGAATCTTTTCTTAAATGTAACCTTGATCACACTCCAAACTCATGTCAAACCCTAAAGTACTGTGTCCACACATTCCAATCTAACACAAATAAGCATATAAAGAATATTTTTCTTTTTTATCAGGAACTGATGCTAACATCAGATGTATGAGTGCTCCACATGCAGCCCATGTAAATCTTAAGGTTGCTGCCCCATACACACTATCTGATGAAGAAGCTTGTGGCCTCAAATCTGTTGTCTGGCCGGGAAGATCTCAGGTAAACGTTGCTAGCTTACATTATCAGTACAGTGAAATTTCAGTTAGTACTGGTGGCTAATTTATATATGCTCACTGCCACATATAAGAATACTTAATTTTTCTTTTGCAAGTGATGTTTGCCTTTAAAAAGGTTAAAGCACTAGAAATAATATGTTATTTAAAACTGAAAGAAAAACTAAATACTATTTGTAATTTTTCCCTTCTCAGGTGATGCCATATGGCCCTTTGACATTTTTCATAGATGGAGCTCACACGGTTGCCAGCATGCAAGCATGTGTGGATTGGTTTGTTAAGACTGTACAACTTCATACATCACATGAGTAAGCTTTAGCATTAATTCATCCACTTAGAAGCTAAAATAAGTATTACTTATTTTAGCTTCTTATTGCTGCCTTCACTATCTCCTGATGGTCTACATATTATTTTCACATGAAGTATCTACAGAGAAATGATATTTTCTCTTGTATATATTGTATATATTCTCTTGTATATTAGCAGTTTGGAGGGATATGTTGTGTATCTTTATACGTATATGCTTCTAAACTGTTGTGTTCTGAGCACCTCTGCAAAAACAGTGATTATGTGTGAGTGGGTTGAAAGTGTTGAATGATGATGAAAGTATTTTCCTTTTGGGGATTTTCTTTCTTTTTGGGTCACCCTGCTCTGTAACTTGCTCAGCTATCAAAACTTTGGAGTCCAGTCCCTGGACCAATTATGTACCTCTGTAATCTTTTGACTACCGCCCACAGGATGGGTATGGGGTGCATAATAAACATATTAAACTAACCTGCCTCAGTGGGAGACGGCCGACTTGTTGAAAAAAAAAAAAAAAAAAATTGTATTATATAGTACAGTGAAACGTAGTATAAGTACTAGGTAGTATATCAGTATTAACGACCTATGGGGTCAAAACACACTTGCAACACATGTCATTTTATTAAGGGCATATTTCACCCACTAGGGACTTTGTCAGTCCTGTGCAGAGAGGCTAGGTGAAGCAGAAAGAGGTCAGGTCATATTGTGGGAATGTGTGGTGCCTGAGTGGGGCCACATCATCTAATTGCAGTGTCTTGTTGAGGTAAAATCATCTCTGAATGCCCCAGAGATGCTGAATCTCCTGTATTTTGCATGATTGTGTTAAATATTAGTATCACGGCTGCTTCTGAGTGTGCCACCTTGGTTGGTCTTTGTCTTTTGTCAACAAGGTAGCTTCATCTCATGAGTGCTGTGATGTATCGCACATTCTTTACTTTGTCTTAGCTGCACGTATACTTATGTACCTTAGAACGCTGTTCCAGGGCTGTAGATGTCTTGCTTCTGTATGTATCCCCCACAAGGGATTCTGTGTACACTGACTCCTTTCTTGACTGATCTGCTTAGTCTGTTTTTGACCATTTCTGTATTGATGGCAGTGAAGGTTGTGTTTCTAGCAGTGTTGCTGATGGAAAGGACAATCTATCTATTGGCTCCTCCCTCACATGTAGCAAGGTTAATGATGTGGAGAGCATGTTTTCTACAGTCTGAGATGAAGTGTGGCAGGAATTGTAAGTGGCTGAATACTTAGTGTAATGTAGTCAGATTCTTCTTCAAGGAATTGTGAGCTGACAAGCTTTTGTGCTTTCAAAAGGAACTGATGATTGTGCCTCTGTTGGTTGTTATGTGAGTATAAGTGTATGTTGGTTTCCTGTATAAGGGTTAATCTGTTATTTCCTTTGCTAAAGATATCTAGGAATGGGAGCTGAGAATTGCTTTTAAATTGTAAATTGTATGATGGGCTCCACATTGTCATTTGTGTTAGGGATGGTGTGAATGTTTTGTATTTTAGGAAAAATTATTAACATGTCATTTATGTAGCCTAGCCATATTGTATGTTTAGAGATTACTGGTGAGAAGAGTTCTGCCTTGATACGCTCCACGTACAGGTTTGCTGAAACAGTGCTGATTATGAGACCATGGCTATCCAATAACACTCTGTAATTCTGTTCTTCATAGCTCAAACTGTTGTAGTTGATATTATTGATATTGTTTGAAAGTTTCTCTACTAAAAAATGTAGTGCAGTCTATTTTTAATAAAGCTTAATATGTATTGTACAAGAGTATCATCCATACATTTGCTGTGGTAGTGTTTATTGTCAAGTGGTAGTTTGTAAAACTGGTTGTTTTAGGCAGAATTGTGTGAGGAAAACATGAATTTTTTGAAGTACCTGTTAATATATTGCCGAAGTGAGAAAAGATATTCTAGAACTGTGAAAGTATGAACATAAAAAAGAAAAGTTCTCTATGAACTTTTAAAAAATTTCATAGCTAGTACCAAAACAAATGAGTTAACTCAGACCTGTATGTTTATTGCATTCTGAAGCAGTTTTTGTAGCATTATTATAATTAGGGTTCAATAACCTACACCCAAGAGAGGACACTTATGACAGTGTTTTTGGTTCATTTTGTACTATTTTTAAATCACAACTGTCATGTTACTTGCTCAAGATTATAAGAAATGCAGACCACATGAGGCCAGTCAGTTGTTTTTTGTTTGGGCAGAGTACATTTGTGTTATAAATTACATAAGTGGGGGGGTTGAAGAGGGTTGGAATAGTTTTAAAAATGCAGTATTAGAATGTGGGGCAGAAGTTTGTGGTTATAGGAGGGTGGGGGCAGGAGGAAAGAGGAGTGATTGGTGGAATGATGAAGTAAAGGGTGTGATAAAAGAGAAAAAGGTAGCTTACGAGAGGTTTTTACAAAGCAGAAGTGTTATAAGAAGAGCAGAGTATATGGAGAGTAAAAGAAAGGTGAAGAGAGTGGTGAGAGAGTGCAAAAGGAGAGCAGATGAAAGAGTGGGAGAGGCACTGTCAAGAAATTTTAATGAAAATAAGAAAAAATTTTGGAGTGAGTTAAACAAGTTAAGAAAGCCTAGGGAAAGTATGGATTTGTCCGTTAAAAACAGAGTAGGGGAGTTAGTAGATGGGGAGAGGGAGGTATTAGGTAGATGGCGAGAATATTTTGAGGAACTTTTAAATGTTGAGGAAGAAAGGGAGGGGGTAATTTCATGCACTGGCCAGGGAGGTATACCATCTTTTAGGAGTGAAGAAGAGCAGAATGTAAGTGTGGTGGAGGTACGTGAGGCATTACGTAGAATGAAAGGGGGTAAAGCAGCTGGAACTGATGGGATCATGACAGAAATGTTAAAAGCAGGGGGGGATATAGTGTTGGAGTGGTTGGTACTTTTGTTTAATAAATGTATGAAAGAGGGGAAGGTACCTAGGGATTGGCGGAGAGCATGTATAGTCCCTTTATATAAAGGGAAAGGGGACAAAAGAGATTGTAAAAATTATAGAGGAATAAGTTTACTGAGTATACCAGGAAAAGTATACGGTAGAGTTATAATTGAAAGAATTAGAGGCAAGACAGAATGTAGAATTGCGGATGAGCAAGGAGGCTTCAGAGTGGGTAGGGATGTGTAGATCAAGTGTTTACATTGAAGCATATATGTGAACAGTATTTAGATAAAGGTAGGGAAGTTTTTATTGCATTTATGGATTTAGAAAAGGCATATGATAGAGTGGATAGAGGAGCAATGTGGCAGATGTTGCAAGTTTATGGAATAGGTGGTAAGTTACTAAATGCTGTAAAGAGCTTTTATGAGGATAGTGAGGCTCAGGTTAGGGTATGTAGAAGAGAGGGAGAATACTTCCCGGTAAAAGTAGGTCTTAGACAGGGATGTGTAATGTCACCATGGTTGTTTAATATATTTATAGATGGGGTTGTAAAAGAAGTAAATGCTAGGTGTTCGGGAGAGGGGTGGGATTAAATTATGGGGAATCAAATTCAAAATGGGAATTGACACAGTTACTTTTTGCTGATGATACTGTGCTTATGGGAGATTCTAAAGAAAAATTGCAAAGGTTAGTGGATGAGTTTGAGAATGTGTGTAAAGGTAGAAAGTTGAAAGTGAACATAGAAAAGAGTAAGGTGATGAGGGTATCAAATGATTTAGATAAAGAAAAATTGGATATCAAATTTGGGGGAGGAGGAGTACGGAAGAAGTGAATGTTTTCAGATACTTGGGAGTTGACATGTCGGCAGATGGATTTATGAAGGATGATGTTAATCATAGAATTGATGAGGAAAAAAGGTGAGTGGTGCGTTGAGGTATATGTGGAGTCAAAAAACATTATCTATGGAGGCAAAGAAGGGAATGTATGAAAGTATAGTAGTACCAACACTCTTATATGGATGTGAAGCTTGGGTGGTAAATGCAGCAGCGAGGAGACGGTTGGAGGCAGTGGAGATGTCCTGTCTAAGGGCAATGTGTGGTGTAAATATTATGCAGAAAATTCGGAGTGTGGAAATTAGGAGAAGGTGTGGAGTTAATAAAAGCATTAGTCAGAGGGCAGAAGAGGGGTTGTTGAGGTGGTTTGGTCATTTAGAGAGAATGGATCAAAGTAGAATGACATGGAAAGCATATAAATCTATAGGGGAAGGAAAGAGGGGTAGGGGTCGTCCTCGAAAGGGTTGGAAAGAGGGGGTAAAGGAGGTTTTGTGGGCGAGGGGCTTGGACTTCCAGCAAGCGTGCATGAGCGTGTTAGATAGGAGTGAATGGAGACGAATGATACTTGGGACCTGACGATCTGTTGGAGTGTGAGCAGGGTAATATTTAGTGAAGGGATTCAGGGAAACCGGTTATTTTCATATAGTCGGACTTGAGTCCTGGAAATGGGAAGTACAATGCCTGCACTTTAAAGGAGGGGTTTGGGATATTGGCAGTTTGGAGGGATATGTTGTGTATCTTTATACGTATATGCTTTTAAACTGTTGTATTCTGAGCACCTCTGCAAAAGCAGTGATAATGTGTGAGTGTGGTGAAAGTGTTGAATGATGATGAAATTATTTTCTTTTTGGGGATTTTCTTTCTTTTTTTGGGGTCACCCTGCCTCGGTGGGAGACGACCAACTTGTTGAAAAAAAAAAAAAAAAAAAAGTACTGGTATGTATAATATTGCTGAAATTATTTTATAACTAAACATGACAAAAAAAATTCTTCAAATCTACAAATATTATTACTACTATATTTCAAATTGTTATTATAAAATATGAACATAATTAGGGAAATATTAATGGAATCAGGAATTACATTGACACAATGAGGCCACCCTTCTAACTGTATATATACATTATCTAAGTACGTATATACGTACTATACTGTATATAGAGAGGTCATTTTAATTTCAGTTTTATGATTTAAAGGGCACTTAAAGTTAGTGTTAGGTGTATTGTGGCTTTACCAATCCTCATGTAGGTAATAGGCCTTAGGCTTAGACCTAACAAACTAACTCGATGTTTTGAATGTCAGCTGATAGATCTGAACTAAAATTGTTTGAAGTTTGAACTGCTGTTTTGGACTGCACAGCTTCCTTACTGCACATATTTCTCATGCACTTGGAGGTACTAGTACAGTACAGTATTTCAGAGAAAAATAAAAACATTTATGATCTTTGGAATAAATACTAAATTAAAAATAAAATGATATATGAGATGTAAAAAAAAATCATTAGTTCTGTATGACCCTTGTAGGTTTAGCACTTAATTATGATTATAATAATAATAATAATAATAATAATAAATTATGGAACATGATTACTGTATTGTCTCAAGACACATGAGCAAAAAAAAAAAAAAAAGAGTATCATAATACTAAGTGAACTTTTAATTTTACAGTAAAATGAAGCCTTATCGTGTGCTTATGTTTAACTCGACTGGAGATCGTGATCCTGAAACACTGCTAAAATTTTTGGCTGCTTGCAAGTTTGATTTAACGGTGTTTACAACAAACCTCATCACCACAACAATGAATGCATCGTCTGGTGAGTTTTCATGGCTATATGTGTATGCATGAGCGTGTTAGATAGGAATGAATGGAGACAAATGGTATTTGGGACCTGACGAGCTGTTGGAGTGTGAGCACGGTAATATTTAGTGAAGGGATTCAGGGAAACCGGTTATTTTTATTTAGCCGGACTTGGTCATGGAAATGGGAAGTACAATGCCTGCACTCTAAAGGAGGGGTTCGGGATATTAGCAGTTTGGAGGGATGTGTTTGTGTATCTTTATAGGTATATGCTTCTAAGCTGTTGTGTTCTGAGCACCTCTGCAAAAGCAGTGATTATGTGTGAGTGAGGTGAAAGTGTTGAATGATGATGAAAGTAAATTTTCTTTTTTGGGGGTTTTCTTTCTTTTTGGGTCACCCTGCCTCGGTGGGAGACGGCCGACTTGTTAAAAAAAAATATATATATATATATATATTTAGGGTGTGTAGAAGAGAGGGAGACTACTTCCCGGTAAAAGTAGGTCTTAGACAGGGATGTGTAATGTCACCATGGTTGTTAATATATTTATAGATGGGGTTGTAAAAGAGTAAATGCTAGGGTGTTCAGGAGAGGGGTGGGATTAAATTATGGGGAATCAAATTCAAAATGGGAATTAACACAGTTACTTTTTGCTGATAATACTGTGCTTATGGGAGATTCTAAAGAAAAATTGCAAAGGTTAGTGGATGAGTTTGGGAATGTGTGTTAAAGTAGAAAGTTGAAAGTGAACATAGAAAAGATAAGGTGATGAGGGTATCAAATGATTTAGATAAAGAAAAATTGGATATCAAATTGGGAGGGGGAGTATGGAAAAAGTGAATGTTTTCAGATACTTGGGAGTTGACGTGTCGGCGGATGGATTTTTGAAGGATGAGGTTTATCATAAATTGATGAGGGGAAAAAAGGTGAGTGGTGCATTGAGTATATGTGGAGTCAAAAAACGTTATCTATGGAGGCAAAGAAGGAATGTATGAAAGTATAGTAGTACCAACACTCTTATATGGGTGTGAAGCTTTGGGGGGTAAATGCAGCAGCGAGAGACGGTTGGAGGCAGTGGAGATGTCCTGTCTAAGGGCAATGTGTGGTGTAAATATTATGCAGAAAATTCGGAGTGTGGAAATTAGGAAAAGGGGTGGAGGTTAAATAAAATAAATAAAAAATAAATATATATATTATATTATATTATTAATATATATTATTATATATATATATATATATATTATATAATATGGTAGTGGTTTGTAGACAGCAACCACCCAGGAAGTATTACCGTATGCCAGATGACTGTGAAACAAAAACCTGTTAATGTTTTGCATGATGGTAGGATTGATGGTTTCTTTTTCTGTCTCATAAAACGCTAAGATAAACAGGGATATCTTGCTACTCCTACTAACACTTTGGTCCACACTTCACAGACACTCACTGCAATATTATATATACATACATCTAGGTTTTCTCCCTATCTAAATAGCTCTTGTCTCCCCCCAAAAAACTGTTTGATTCCACATACAACTACCAAACCCTACCTGTTTCCCTCCCGTCCCCTGATGTGCTCCGCTCCTCCCATTTTCTAACCGCTATAAGCAATCATCTATAAGGTACGGTGATTATGCCCTTCCCCAAGTTACTGGTGCGCAGATCCGATTATACGGCCCCGGGATAGCCTACTGCGCCGCTAGCTACCTATAACCCACACTTCTCTCCCGCTATAACAATTAACTAAAAATGACCGAAAGAAGAAAAAAAACTTTATAAAACTGGGTTGCTTAAATCGTGGTGGATGTAGTGCGGATGACAAAGGAAACAGATGATGGCTGATGTTATGAATGAAAAGAAGTTGGATGTCCTGGCCATAAGCGAAAACAAAGCTGAGGGGGTAGGCGAGAGTTTCAGTGGGGGGAAAGAAATGGGATTTAATCTAGGAGGTATCTGAGAGAGTTAGAGCAAAAGGAAGGCGGTAGCAGTAATGTTAAATGATCAGTTTATGGAAGGAAGGGGAAAATAGAATATGAATGTGAAATATTCTAAGAATTATGTGGATTAAAGTAAAGGTGGTATGCGAGAAGTGGGTCATAATAAGAGTGTTTCACACTGGAGAAGGAGAGGAATGCAAGAGGAGAGCAGAGAGGATTTTGGGAAGTTGTTTTAAGTGAATGTTATAGGCAGCCTTTCGAAACCAAGTGCGAGAGTAATTGTGGTAGGGGACTTGAATGCTAAGTAGGAAGAAAACTTTTAGAGAGGGTTCTGTCTTGGGGTAGGTAAGGTTTGGGGTGCAGGTGTAAATGATAATGGAGAAGCCCTTTGATTTGAACTTTGTATAGAAGGGGTTTTGTTATAGGTAATACATATTTTAAGAAAAAGAGGATAAATAAGTATACACATATATGATGTAGGGCGAAATGACAGAAGTTTGTTGGAATTATGTATTGGTAGATAAAAGACTGTTGTGTAGACTTCAGGATGTAATGTTTATAGACGGGGGCCAAGATATATCAGATCACTTTCTAGTTGTAGCTACACTGAGAGTAAAAGATAGATGGGATACAAGATGGAATAGAAAGATCAGGAAGTGAGAGGTTGAAGGTTTATAAACTAAAAGAGGAGGCAGTTAGGGTAAGGATATAAAACAGCTATTGGAGGTTTAGAGTGGGGCTAATGATAGCATAGGCAATGGGGTCGAAGAGGTATGGGTAGTCGTTTAAATGTAGTGTTTGAGTGTCAGCAGAAGTTTGTGGTTACAGGTAAAGTGGGTGCGGAGGGAGCAGGGAGCGATTGGTGGGAATGATGATGTAAAGAGAGTAGTAAGGGAGAAAAAGTTAGCTTATGAGAAGTTTTTACAAGTAGTCCAGTGATGCAAGAGGGTAGAGTATATGAGAAAAAGAGAGGGTTAACGAGAGTGGTGAAGCATGTAAAATAGAGAGCAAATGAGAGAGTGGGGTGAGATGTTATCAACAATTTTTGTTGTAAATAAGATAAATGTTTTGGAGTGAGAATTAACAAGTTAAAGAAAGCTAGAGAACAATGGGATTTTGTCAGTTTAAAAATAGGGAGAGGAGAGAGTTATTAAATGCGAGAGGTTTAGAGGTATTGGGGAAGATGGAAGGATTTTGAGGAATTGTTAAATGTTGATGAAGATAGGGAAGCTGTTGATTTCGTGTATCGGGCAAGGTGGAATAACATCTTGTAGGAGTGAGAAGGCCAGTTAGTGAGTGTGTGGGAAGTTCGTGAGGCGAGTAGGTAAATGAATGGGGGTAAAAGCAGCCGGGATTGATGGGATAAAATGATAGAAATGTTTTAAAAGAGGTGGGGATATAGTTTTGAGTGGTTGGTGCAATTGTTTTATAAAATGTTATGGAAGAGGGTAAGGTACCTAGGGATGGCAGAGAGCATGCAAGTTCCCTTGTATAAAGGCAAAGGGGATTAAAAGTGAGTGCAAAAATTATAGGGGGGATAAGGTCTGTTGGTGTACTGTAAAGTGTATGGTAGAGTTAATATTGAATGAATAAGAGTAAGACGGGAGAATAGGATAGCAGATGTACAAGGAGGCTTTAGGAAAGGTAGGGGGTGTGTGGTCCAGGTGTTTACAGAGAAACATTTAAGTGAACCAGTATTTAGATAGCTAAAGAGTCTTTGTGGCATTTATGGATTTGGAAAGGCGTTATGGGACAGGGTTGGATAGGGCGGCAATGTTGGCAGATGTTGCAAGTGTATGGTGTATGAGGTAGGTTATCAGAAAGCAGTGAAGAGTTTTTACGGAGGATTGTGAGGCTCAAGTTAGAGTATGTAGGAATGAGGAAATTTTTTCCCAGTAAAAGGTAGGCCTTAGAACATGGATGTGTGATGTCACCGTGGTTGTCTTTAATATATTTATGATGGGGTGGCTTAAGAGAAGTAAATGCGCAGGGTCTATGGCAAGAGCGTTGCGTGGAGTTAATAGATAAAGAATCACACACAAAGTGGGAGTTGTCACAGATGTCTTTGCTGGATGACACTGTGACTCTTGGGAGATTTTGAAGAGAAGTTGAAGAGATTGGTGATGAATTTGGTCATAGGGATGTGCAAAGAAGAAATAATTAAAGGTGAATACAGGAAAGGAGTAAGGTTATGAGGATAACAAAAAGATTAGGTGATGAAAGATTGAATATCAGATTGGAAGGGACGAGAGTATGGTGGAGGTGAAAGTATTAGTATTTGGGTGTGGACGTCGTCAGCGGATGGGTCTATGAAAAGATGAGTTGAATCATAGAAATTGTGAGGGAAAAAGAGTGATTGGTGCATTAGGAGTTGTCTGGAGATCAAATGACTTTGTCCTTGGAGGCAAAAAAAGAGGGGAATGTATGAGAGTATAGTTTTACAACGCTCCTTATATGGGTGTGACAGCGTGGGTTGATGAATGTTTGCAGCGAGGAGAAGGTGAGGCAGTGGTCAGATGTCCATGTTTGAGAGGCAATGTGTGGTGTGATATAATGCAGAGAATTCTAGTTGGAAGTTAGGAGGAGGAGCGGGATTACCAAAATGTTTGTCCAGGGGCTCTGAGGAAGTGTTGTTGGAGGTTGGTTCGGACATGTAGAGAGAAGGAGCGGAACGAAGACTCAAGAGTGTTCATCAGTCTGTAGTGGAAGGAAGGCGGGGTTGGGTCGGCCTTGAAGGGTTGGAGGGAGGGGGTAAAGGGGTTTTGTAGTGCGAGGGGCTTGGACTTCCAGCAGGCTTGCTTGAGCGTGTTTGATAGGAGTGAAAGGAGACCCCACTGGTTAATAATACTTGGAAGTGCTGTTGAGTGCGAGCAAAGTACATTTATGAATGGATTCAGGGGAAACCGGCAGGGCCGGACTTGAGTCCTGGATGGGAAGTACCGTGCCTGCACTCTGAAGGAGGGGTGTTTAATGTTGCCAAGTTTAAAAACTGTAGTGTAAAGACCCTTCTGGCAAGACAGTGATGGAGTGATGATGGTGAAAGTTTTTCTTTTTCGGGCCACCTGCCTTGGTGGGTAATCGGCC